GACTGCTTTGCCCCCGGATGGATGCCCTTGAATCTACAGAGATAATCCTGGGTCATATTGACACAATTCCACCATTTCTTGGCCCAAACAGACCCCTCTTTTTGAAACAATCTCTGGGGGATACTTTCTCTGCGCCTCTGCCTGGCAGAGAATTTTCCTTGAATTGGGACACTACACCCATCGATCCGGGCTGGCAGCAGTTTGTTGCGTTGCTAAACTCCACGCATGCGTATTAATGACTTTAGAATTTCAGATAGCCACCTTGACTTTTCCCTTCGCGCGCAGTTTGTAGCACTGTGTAGCAGCATGGTTTTATTCCTCCATGGTAGCAGTGAGTTTTGCACAAGTCAATGGTGTAGCACTTTTTTTGCTACAGATTTCCGTCCCTGACTTTTCCCTTCGCATTTTGTAGCACAGTGTAGTAGTGAGTTTGTGCACAAGTCAGTAGTGTAGCACTTTTTTGCTACAGATTTCCACCCTTGACTTTTCCCTTCCCAGCTTGTAGCACAATGTAGCAGTGAGTTTGTGCACAAGTCAATTAATGGTGCAGCGCTTTAAATTTTTGCTACGGATTGCCACGCCCAGGCTTATCTGCTTCTATTCGTGTTTGCTTGTGCGTCCGCCGCGGTCGGCGGCAAGGGTTTGGTCTATAGTTCCTGGGTCATGGTACCATTATAACCATATTGCGTATCAAAGTCCAAGCCTATGAAGGCACATGGAATTCAGGCTTCTTTCCCAAAAACCAATCCCCGATTGTAGGCCTGAAGCGTTTAAATTACATTGAATTACTGTAATTTTATCTCTGTTACATATTACTTGATGCTTTGTGGCACTGTTAGACTAATTACTGAGCTTACAGCTAGATTTACAGAGCCAAATCATTGGAAAACGAACTCGCGAGCCATCGATTGGTGAAGCGAAGTCACGAGAGGGCGCAATAGAAATCGTCGCGCGCGGGATGCATCTCTGCTTGGGCTTGCTGCACGGCGCGGCCGCGGTGCACCCGTGCAGTGTGCAGTACGCTCGTACGTACATGTACATGTACATGTACATTTTACTTGTGCTTGTTACTTGTAATTGTAGTACGTGTGCACATCGCTACATCGTACAACTTCAAGACAATGCAGTGGCTTTCTTGCTGTGGCAACATTATGATACCGAACCGATTTCATCACCCCTCCGGCCTTTTAATGGTTGTAATCATTTCTCAGTAAGTTTACTTCCATGAACTTTGTCAACGACATGATGTTATATTGTCAAACCAAACCAAGGCTTTTTAGCTCCATACTCGGAAGCAAATGTTGTCATTTTTAGCCCACAAGATGGTCATCGTCATGATCGTCTCATCACTTAGGACGTTGATCATGTTGGTGTCACACCTAAGTTGACATACTTACTGTACATGTAGGCTTGGCAGTGGGGGGGGCGGTTATTGATATTGGAAGTTGGCAAACTAACTACTAGTCCCTTCGGCCTTGCTGCGCCTGAGCAACTAACGTTAAGCCTAGTTAGTTGATCAACTTTCAGTGTACCTTGCATAACCCATGGAGGTTGGCATTGCCATAGCTGGGGGGGGTTGAGGTTGGGGTGGGAGGTCAATGGGATATTTTCCACTGACACAAGTTCCTTGTGCCCCCCCCCTCGGCGTGGTGCCTCCCACTAAAAACCTGATGATGCCTTTTCCTTCCCCAACCCAAAAGAATTAAAAATCATACCTTGCATTAAAATTTGCAAATGTCGCGGTTGGACATCCGGGAACTTCTGTGGATTATTAAATAGTACGAAGGGTTAATTAACCACTTTGCTGCATTAAATGTTCGTACTCGTAGTGATGTCACGCCGACTGCGAGAATATTGTGCTTCTGTGAGGCATTGGCCTGCATACACTGGCACGGTTCCAGTCAAAACAAAAGGCTCCTCGTTCTGACGTGATCACCACAGGGTACACAGACAAGACCAAGCTAGCTATTACAGGCTGTATTTCCATTCACATAATGAAGCAAACTGCAAATTAACGATTGGATAAAAACAATAACTCAACACACCATAGAAAGCTGGTGCCTCCATTAGTTGTCGATGCCCCCAACTTGTGAAATACATGTAGTCCCTTTGCCACTCTTACATATACCTCGGGATCTTAAAATCAACCATCCACCCTAAAACCATGTTATATTAGTATAGTTTCCTGACAAGTCATGATCGTAAGGACGGCTGCTTTCTGTAACATCTCTAAATATTACTGAAAATTAAATACCCTGCAATCGCTGTGTTTGTTTGATGTTGTACAATGAGGAGAAGGGATATCTTTGAAACATTTCCTGCTAATTTGTTCAATTCATTTGATGCAGGTTTAGTCTGGATACATCATATGGTGCAAGCGATGTGCCATTCGTATGCTACCAAGGCTCCATAGAGAGTAACGCCAAAGGACAGATCAAACGTCACAGTGAAATGAACCTGGCCAGCTTACCCTGTGATCAGCCGATTACACCGACCTCAGGCCACCCGACCACGACAGGTACATACCAAGTGAAAAAAAAAAAGTCAACCCAAATTAGTTTCACTCTCTCTCCATTAGACTGACTAAATTCTCGATAGTTTCCGTAATTTTGACATTTCCAATCCGCATGGACTGGCATGTAAGGATAGGAACAGAACTTGACTCAGAAAGTTCAGGCAGTAAGATGCTGAAATCCTGGGTGGCTGTATTGGAGGATTTTGGAGGATTGAGGGTGAATGCAGTGTTTTGTATGGATAATTGGAAGATTTTGAAGGATTAAGAATGGTGCCTAGCAAAGGTTAACCCTTGCTCAATGAGAACAATTTACTGCAAGTCAGTGCGTAACCATTGGAGTGATTTTACTGCACAGCCCAATACAAGTACACTCCAGTGTACTCAAGAGGATTGTGGCATGTGGCTTTGCTGATCAGTGTAATACACTAGCTGGACCAAGTTGACCTCCAGTTTTCTTTGCAGTTCCTTGAAGCGTACACAGTTTCTTCATTGAAGTGGTGTGGCCGTTAGTGGAGGGCCATGTAATAAACATAGCCACTGTTTCTCAGGGGAATATTGGAGTGCATTGGAGTGTTAATTAATTAACGAGCAAAGGTTAAGGCTTAGCGGGTAGACATAAGCCTCTTCTTAAATATACAGTGCACATACATAGATGTGGCCATTGATATGAGCCTTATTGCTGATACCGCATGAGTGATTTTGCACAATGGTAGAAAGGCATTGTGGGAAGGATGTTTGCTTCTTTATCCTTCCCACAGTGTCTTTCTACCATTGTGCAAAATCATTAAGGCTTATGATTCCCTTTATTTTTGTTGTAACTGCATGTGCTTCCAGCTGATACCGATCTCATGCCCAACTCATCACATCCTGCTCAGCCCTCTGCCGCCACAACTCCAGCGAACGCCAGCCAGCAACATAACGCCTCCGCGGCCAACTTTTGTGTTGTCGATTACTTCCCCAGCGGGTCCAGGCTCAGCACCAACGGCACCTGGACGGCCAACTTCAGCTGCGTGCTGGGCACTGCCGCGTGCCCGAGTCGAGTAAGAAAAGACCACGGGTAGTTGATTGCCCCAGTGACGTTGCAGTAGCTTCAGAACCCTGTTGCTGATGAGGCTATGTCCGATTTCATTGGCTGCGGCTTGAAATTCCACACAAGTCAGTGGCAGTGCCGCTCCCCATAAAGAAGTGGGTAATTGCAAGCCACAGCCAAGTCATTCGGACAGAGCCTGCTACTCATGTGTCGGGTAACACGATTGCGTATCTGAAGGCACATCACTTCAGTAGCAAGTTTCACAAAACTTAGTATCATGAAACATATTAAGTTCTGAACCAAACTCACAATTTATGGCGGGGCTGCACAGTCAATTTCATGAAAGGTCACTTAGCTGCACAACAGTTTAACATGCACTTATTGGACGAGGACGATAAGGGCATTTTCAGTGGTTGTTCCTTTCCAGTGTAAAAGCAGTTAATAAACAGTAGTTAAATTGGCTCCCTCCATCATTCTGAAAAGGTTCTCATCCTGTCTTTGTTTGAACTGGGCAGAACATCTCAAAGTTCTGTCACAACCCAACAAGTTCCCTCATTACCTCCACAAACAGAGTTGTCCATTTCTCCCAAAAACATTAACTTGAGCTTATAGCTGAACCTGATTGGTTAGTTCAGTTGTTCATTTTCAATTTGTTCATTGCATCTTGAATTGCTCAAAATAATTGTGAAAGTTATGTCAATATTTAGTGTACACGTTGTGGACGTGCACACCGTGTAACTTTTGTAATATGATAATTTGTTGGCCAACTTACACAGTAGGATTTGGTGTGAGTGAAGTTACGCCACTGCATAGGTTTCCTGAGATCACCTGCTGGGCATGTGCATGTAATATTGATAATAACAATAACATGCATTTACATAACGCATTTCAGCACTGACTGAATCGCGGTGTACTTTTCACCCTATAAGCTCTGCTCGTCAGGCCCACAGACATTCCTAAGGCCACCCAGTTTCCTTTACAGTATATGTACTGCCATGTTAGGTGCAAATGGTTAAAGGAAAGGAAAAGGCCACTACATGTAACCAGGAGCTTGATTCGAACCCCTGACCCCGTAACCAGGAGTTGGAAACCCTAATCATTAGCCCACGTGGTACATGGTTATCCAGCAACACACATGGGTGATTTGGGTCTTTGGTTTTGCAGTTTTGGGTGTACTTGTGACACATACTTGCATGTGCGGCTTAGGGCAAATTTGAGCAATTTGTTCCTATCCAAGCTACATTTTGTGCCTCGGTCACCTGGGAGAATTGACCAGTCGTTATTTGAATTTGCTCCGAGTTCAGGAGGGAAGTGTGCCAGATTTGTGCCCTACATTGCATACCCCGGTGCCCGTGAGATCACAATTTGCCTTTTGGTGTGCTAACAACTCTTCTATGAATTTTACCCCCCACCCTTCTGCCCCTGCAGACTTGCTGCAAGACGCCCAACTGTAACACCCTGGAGTTCTTCAGAAAGGGCCACCCTGCTCTCAAGACTGCTACCGTCAGCTCTTGCCACAAGGGCAATGTTACAGGCTCAGGCCCAGGTGCGTGCGAGTTGGTTTAGAGCTCTCTGACAGTGTTGAAGTTGAGTCCGTAACACTAATACTAACTCCTACTGCAAGTCCACCTCATGTCTGTCGCAAGTCATCCAATCTCAGGCCAAGTCACAAGAGACTGAGTAGACTACAGCCTTGAGAATACTTTCACCAAGTATCTTCCTGACCCTTTCCAAATCTGGAACTGTACAAGGGTTGGGTCATACTTGGTATAAAAGTGAACACATATGCAACTTATTGACATCAGATCAAACATAGTTTGCCGTGAATTTGCAAGAGTTCACAAATCTAAGCTTGAGCAGACGTCACTCCGCAGATGTTTTGTGACATCAAATCGCTCTCATGTATAATTCGTGTTCCCCTGAAGTAGGAACACGCCGGGCCACGGTTTTGGGATTTTGGGGAAAGTCGATATTTGCTGCCTGAAGTATTTGAAGTTGCAATTGCCGGCGACAGCTAAATATCCGTTTTCAGTGGTTTCATTTATTTTGCCCTCTGCTTGGTTTGCACTCTTTCCCTGTCTGCACCCAGTTCCTGCTTTTCCGTGCCGAAGTGGAAGTCAGTACTGCTACAACCAAACTACCGACAGAGGGACATTGTTTGGATGCAGCACAGGAACTTTACAGATCAGTTGTCGGAAAAATACTGTTGGCAGCAACAGTAGGTGTGTAAATGTAAGTTGCAGGCATGCTAGCTCCTCTTTGCTTGCCTAGTTAGCCCTTTTCAGTCTTCATGAATGCCTAAGACAGTTCAGTCATTCCTATTGGCCGAGAGCTTGTCAAATGGCCAGTCCAAAATGCTTAATAAAGCACCGGCTAGATGGAGGCACATACCATAACATGTTCAAGAGGGATGTTTGAAAAAATTAAAGTAAAATTTTTGAACAAGATCACTGGAAATTTATACCTTTTTAAAACTTGTTTTGACTTTCTGACTTGGAGGGTACATGTATTTATCAATTGGAACAATTATGAGCTTGACTGGTTGAGACCACCTCAGAAGAATGGATGTTGATTTCATATCCCTTGCCACTGGATTGTTACATTCTGGGCCACCTCATGTAATTTGTCCTGCATGCTGCCCAATCTCCACTTGAAGAGATTGTTTACAGCAAATCCTGAGAGGAACATACCACTAAATAGCTAGTGTTTTTTTTTTTAGAAGCAAAACTGTAGATCAAAACTGTTCGTAATTTCTGATTTCTAAAAATTTGCTTTGACTTGAAAGGTATAAAGACGTGCTTTGCCAGCATTAAAATTGCACTGAGGCTTTGAGAACGGAGGCTCTGAGTATGAGTCTCGTCTCTGGCTTGGAATATTATCAGTGTCAATTCTTCTAACCAGCCAAGGTCATATTCGTTCCGTTAGTGAAAGATGACAAGTAACAATGTTTGTGGTCTCTGGACAGGTGAGCAGGTCCTCTTTATGCTGCTGTGACAGTGACAATTGTAATGGCCTCTCTCCCAACATCACAGTGGTCACCCCCATCCACACGGTGGCTCCGCCCACAACGACGCATTACTTAGTAACTGTGAGTGCACTGCCAATCGTGAAACCCAGCTTCGGTCGAGTGGGCAAAACCTCTCAACGGAGCATCGTACCCCCTAGGCTAGATTATCCTATTGAAACGTCAGACCCTGCAACTTCTCGTTTTTTTGTTTAGATCTGTATATTTCAGTTCACGGAAGTCAGCAGTTTGCAGAAGGCATTTTGGCACTAAGAGAAGTTCATGGTGATCGGTTTATTCAGTTTCTGCGTGGGTTGTCAGGAATTTCAGACTTTTGGCACTTGAAATAGCTGAAGCCTGTCCCCTGAAGTTGAGGTTAATGATAGCCTACATGTAGTATCTTGCAGAATTTTGTTGTAATAGCAATATGCCATAATGGTACTGATGCATTCAAGAATGATTGTTCTGCTGGTGAGCTTTGTAGAACAAGAGCTCTGCTCTAAAAATATCTTTTTCTCCACACCTGCCATTGTTCTCTCCTCCGTCAGGCAAGCAAGCATTCCTCAGGCTGGATGCTGGTGCTCTTGATCACTTGCGGCTTCCTAATTGGTGGACTGGTCGGCGTCGTTGCCACAGTACTTTATCGAAGGTGGAAAAAGAAACGCCGCGCAAACGGACCGCTGAAGATTTCCTACAGCCGCATCAGTGCCGACTGTGTAGATGACGACAATGTCTTTAGTTACTGAAAGAAGATGCTTCGAATGGTTTGACTGTGACTTTTGTTTGTTTCAGACAGGACTGTTTGGCTCTTAGTTTCCATTTCGTACAAGGAAAATTTTGTTTAAATTTCTGAAATAAAACTTATTTATTGATGGTGTCGAAGACATGACCATTTATGAGCTGGTTTTGTTTTACCAGTTATTCAGGAGGTGTTTGTCATTATAAATTGAAAAGATCATTACAAATTAGTTTGATCTCAGTTTTGGGCATGAGGCCTCTAAATTATTGTCAGAAAATTTTTTGTCCTTTCGTACAAGTTTGTTATATTTCGGTACCGTCAGAAGCAAAGTTTCAAGGGAAAATATTGGCTCTTTTTTTCTGGATTCATTATCCCTGATAAGGAGCAGTTATGACTTTTAGCTGTTCTTGGGCGTATTGATTAACAGTTGTCATTAATTTGTACTTTATTTCCATATTATTACATGTTTAAAATTTGATGTGTTTTCTAGAACTTGATGAGGAAAGCTAATTTTTTTGGGGGGGGATATGTAATTATGTGTTGACTGTTGACATTTGCCTTTGAGACAAAATGTAAGTCAGTGTAAATTAGTTGAGATGGAAAAAATTAAATGATCCGCTGGAGAGATTCAATGAAATTAACTTTGAAGAGAATGGTGCCATTTTGGCATGTTTTCGGGTGCTAGTTTTCACTGTGCACTTTCACAGTGGCATGAAGAACAAAACCAAATGCCAAACAGTGCAAGGTGGCGCAGTTTGAATGCCAAGGGGCTGCCTGTGTTACAGAAAGTGGAGTTTTTGGGTGTACCATTAGTGTGGGCGCACTATTAGTGGTTTAGTTTTCTTGTGCGTCCTTCAAAAAAGGGTAGAGACGGCATTTTGTATGTTTGTATATATTGAATTGCCTTATCTTTTTTACAGCTGTTATGCCAAAGGTAATTGAGGGACCTTATCTTCCTCGTGGTTTGTGAACTTGCAGCTTTGTTTAATATGGAGTTATTTTCTTCAAGGAAGACCTTTAACTGTAGAGCAAATATTTGTACATATTCAGTGGTAAAAAACCTTTTCTAGTCGCTTCTTTATGCACACTGTGCAAATGTGCTCATGGATCTAGGTCTTCAAGAGATTTTTACATTTTCGCTCCTGGGCAGGACTTAAAGGGTGTGTTCGAAACTCGTTTTTGTCTTGGATAAACTTGGGAATGGGGGTTCTAAATAAAGAAAAAACACCACCTGAACATTGGTTACAAGCAAGAGATTTTCTTTCCCACTTACTGGGAGCAGAGAATGGCAAGACCAGAGATGGTGGAAACTCAGGCACACACCTTTTATAACTAGATGAATAATAAGCATTTTGTCACAACATGGAAAAAATCATTTCATGCACTACAATTTATCAGGAGCAGTAAGAATTAAATTTGAAAAGAGTTGCCATGGCCCCAGAGAGAATTTGTCTTTGCCAGTTCTTATACACATGGGTAATTAGGGAGTTAAATGATTACATCATTGTTATCCTTTGTTTTCATAGGGTCATTTAAAGTGGTAAGTGCCAAATTGAAATTTTTGCCCACCTGTACTCCACTTGAGTTCAACTTGAATTCACCGAGTCACTAGAGAACAGGGTTGTGAATATGGTTGAGCTGGCACTCATCAGATGGTAAAGACATCTGCACAAATAGGCTGGTGCCTTACTCCAGAGAAAAATGCAAAATTCCTGTGAATCTTTGCAGAAAGCATTGAGCACCAACAGCACAGCCTGTTTGTAAGCCAAACTATTGTATATAAGGAGGTAATGCAGGGAAGTTCACTTTTTCAGATCTTTACGAGACCATTAAATATTTTGAAACAAACCCCTGAGGTGTTACATTGTGTTCTCTGCTTACTTAGGTTTTTGGCTCTACAAGACTGACTTTTCTGTCTGAAAGTGGTCGATTTTGAAGCATTGCAAGGGGCATGACTTGCCTGCTTTGTGAGCCTGAGCTGGATAAAGAGAGAATGCAATTTTCCTAGCAACGTAGGCTCCTTTGGTGGAACCTGCACTTTGCTGGTTCACAAATGACTATAAAATGCATGGGTTACGATCTCACCGCCACCAACAAAATGAGCACTCCTGACCAACATGGCTCCTTTAAACCGATGAGGGGGTGCTTCTGGTTGATGCGGATTGCCTGGGTAGAATTTGGCTTGCCTGATGCTTTTTGCACCAATGAAGCAAGCTCATCATGACATCATTGTACGCAGAAACTTGCAGTGGCACCCTCATAGGGAATCTACTAAGTAAATTGGTGAAACTATGAAGAGAACATCAAGCCCACAGGTTCTTTTCAGAACCTTGGCATCTCACACCAGGTATTTTCCACATGATGCTGCAGCAAGTGACTCCGCATTTTTTCCTCCACCCTGGAAACCTCCCCATCTGATCGTCTTCATAACAGTTGCCATTACTGTAGACACTACATGTACATAGCTGCACAAAGGATTCTTATCACCTTTAATATCTTGATACCTGAATGCAAGTCGGAGGCCTTTTGAAAAGCAATTTTCTACCTGAACCACAACAGAAACAGTTTGGGAAGAAAGTTTGACAAAATCGTTTTAGTCCAGTGTCTGGCTGATGTTTTAAAGTATACGTTACTGGAAAGCTTCATGTACCTGTGAAAAAGAAAGATTGTGCACCTGATGTCTCAAGCGTTAACAGTTGAATTGATTTATTCATTTTCTCCAAGTGAATTAAACTCACTGTGCAACTGCACAATTGGAATACCATCAGTCTACTCCATAATGACCCGACTTTAGTGCTCTCTTTTCAAGTACGGGGGACAAAGATCGATTTCAAACCAAAATTGTAATGAGTGAAAATAGGGGTTCAAACAATGCTACCTTTTGCAGTGCATTTACGCACCCTGATACCGAGATCACATGACAGATATCAAGTTAATCACATGGTTGTGCCAGCTGGACAAATGTGCATTGGCCGTATCTAGCCTTGTCCGCAACTCATGCACTGCATATTTTTCTGACTGCAAATCTCTGAAACCAATACAGCTGATTACGGTTTCTGTCGCAACTTGAAGGTTAGAGGTACACATTACAAATGGCAACCTTTTTCATAGAAGACATGCTGTTCTAGAGCCTGAACGGTGTGTCTGACACTGCATCCAAAGTTCTGGCTGCGGCTCAAATTAACATGCGTGCTTGTGGACGCCTATGGCTAGTGGCAGCAGCTAATTCCAGCAAATATAAGAATCCTAGCCACAGCCACTCAGTTTGGACGCAGCTCATTACAGCCAAGTACCAATTTTTTTTTGTTCTGATAAAGCATCGCAGCATGATTCCTGTATGTTGCTACTGTCACTGCACCCCTCCTGTAATGCATGGGTTTTTGCAAGCTGTTATTTAGGCAACTAATCAACATGGGATACATAGGTGTACATGTATTTAAAACTTGTTGAGGTAAGAAGCAGTAGGTCAAAGCAGACTTACATAATGAGCCTCGAACTGGACCAAGAGTTTCTTAGCAACTGAGGCTCTTTTGGTCAGAACTGCACTTTGCTGGTTCACAAACAGCTATGAAATGTGCGCGTTATGGTCGCATTGCTACCAACAAAACGAACACTCCCGACGGGCATGGCTCTTTACAACCAATGAGGGGCGCTTCTGCTCAAAGTGGCCACCCATAGACATGTGAATCAGTTGTGACCCCATTTATCAAGGAACATCTGGAAATACATCCTCCAGAATTTTTTGGCAGGAAGAGGTTTTTGTTCATTCACACTTTGATAAAAATGTGTCAGTTTTCTGTCAGGTAGCAGGGTCACTACGCACTTAATACGCACTTTGGTAAAGTAAGTGCCTTGACGACAGGAACTTAATGTTTGAAATGCAAGTGACTGATCTATTTAAACATTTAATTCTTCAAGGTCTCAAAACCCACACTAGATTCTCAATTCTTGGCTGATGCACAGGAAAGAAATTTCAATTCTGCTTACAACACCTGAGCCTCTGGGCCCATGGAAGTGGTAATTCAAAAACAAAACCAAACAAAACAGAAAGTTCAAGTATTCCTCCCACCACAGGCATACTCCGCCACAGCTGTGAAAACCACACACACATTGGAACACAGAGTTTGTAGGGGTTAAAAAATGTTAGGGGCCACAATTTCTGTCTGCACAAATCAGTTTCCACTTTCCTAAACAAAGAAATTGTCCCCTGGATGAGGTGACGGCGTAGGTACACCTACATTTGCCTGCGAACACATACTAAGGTGTGAATAATCTTGAATTCCAACCATGCTTATTCCATCAATATTCTGTGTAATCATTACAGCTGCCAAGTGGGGAATGGGAGTTACCCGGCAATAGTTGTTGACAATCAGAAAATCCAGAACATTCACACTCATCTGAACTTGACGAGCCTCCTCAAATCACTTGGAAGTGAATAACTGTTAACTTCAAATATTCCTGAATCAAATTTTCTAATTAGTCTTTGTTTTCGTTTTAATTCAAAGGGGTAAATAAATCTTCCAAACCCCTGTAAATGCCCCAATTTGAATTGTTACCTATGAAAATAACGTCCTTAATAGGCTAATGATTCACAAGCAAACAAATTGTGCCTGAAATTAAAGTTAATTTTTTTTTTCAAAGACAATTCATGAATTTAAGCAATACTCTGTATTAAGACCAATAACCACTTGCTGCCGGGTGGTTTGAAAAATGCAGTGCACATAATCGGGACTTTTTCAAGATTTTCAGTTTTCAAAATTCTTCAAAAATTCATCATTTCAATTAATGGACGTTTACACCCTCATGAATTACTGTCTGGTGGCCACTCTAGTCTGACAGACAAAATCTATTGACGCCCGACTATTTCAGCCAGGCCTGCAGCCTTGTAAAAAGAGCCCAGATTGTGTGGTGTTATGTAACATTCTTTTGTTCACGAACCTGGCTTAGTGCGCTGCTGACCTCTTTTCAATAGGGACCAGATTAGCATGCAGCAGTGCTGTGTGGCTCATCACTGCAGTGGTGGAGAGCTTTTGTCCCCGGTGGTAGTCTGCTCGCTCTAAATGCCTCAAACCGTGGTATACTGTTTCAAAACAAGGCTGGATTACCTCCACTATTGAGAGTGAAAAAATGTTGGTAATGCCCAGCAGCCTGGTCTTTTGTTCCGAGTACGGTCTTTTGTTACAAGGCCCAGTTCCCTTTGTCCGATTTTGGAGACCTCCGCCACGCATATAAACACACGGTGCCCGAAACCGGAGTCCCTGGCGGCAAGTGGCTAATGATTTTCAAGAACACCCCTCTAAAAACAATACATCTCTTGCATGTATATGTAACAAACTTAAACTAGTTTTGCTGAAGGTTGTGGTGTGGTTGCTGTAGATACTAGCCGTCCGGACATCAAACTTTACCTGCCTTCTCCATTTCCTGTAGAAATAGAGACAAAAATACAAATGAGGGCAATCCTGTTCAAATGCAAACTCATGAGTGTCCAAACAAGTGGAAGTACTCAGATGCAAAGTACACCAGACGACTGACATTGATGTCATCGTGACATGTAGAACTCACCTTCAACATAGTGGTTCCCATCTGAGCCGGGGACATCGTGACGGAGACACCGGCATCTTTCAACACCTCTATCTTGTGTTCTGCTCCGCCCTTCCCTCCGGAGATGATGGCACCAGCGTGACCCATCCTCCTTCCCGGGGGTGCTGTTAGGCCGGCAATGAAGGACACCACAGGCTTGCGGTCATCTCCCTGTCCGAGAACAAAGACGAAATAACTATGTTAATCACCGACAAACTGTGACAGGGTCCACCTGCTTCAGTCGAAATTCTAGCTACTACACACGGCAACTTTAGATGCCGCACTTTAAATGTTTGCAACCTTACCCCAAACTCACCATATTGTTTTCCTTGAGAAATTCAGCTGCCCTCTCCTCGGCTCCGCCTCCAATCTCTCCAATGAGGACGATTCCTTCAGTTTCTGGGTCCTTCAGGAACACGTCCAAACAATCTATGAAGTTGGTCCCATTGAAGGGATCTCCACCAATACCTGGACAGGAAAAAACAATCAATTAACATTCAGGGATGGGCTTCTAATACTTCTTGAATCTCTGCAATGCCAAGTCATGATCTGACTCAAACCCTAAGGCAAATTCTGCAATAGTCAGCTCGATCAAGTCCCCCACCCCCACTGTCTGGACACTCCAGTGCTTTAGCCAGTGTCCACCGGGTCAAGACCTCATTGGTCACTCCCCTACCCAGACTGACCACTGAGTCAGCTCCTCTTATCCTTGATGTGTCAAATAGATGATGTTTCGCTGGACATTTCCAGTGGCCTCCTTGCAACTGCAGAAAGCATTACAATGGGTCCTCTACAAAACGACTGTCACAGAACAGTGGCTCCGTACAGAGGCAATCACAACATGTACCGCCTTTGAAGGGACCACTGCAAAATAGCTGTTATTGCATAACCCTGGTCTGGTCACCGATTCACTGACAAGCTATGTGTGTCTCACATGATATCACAATGTGGTAATGTATATCCCCTCACAACATAAAATGATAAACCACGGCCTACAAGTGGCCAACAAACTTTGGCTGGCTGTCAGCTCAAAGACAAATCAGAGAAGTCACTTCAGCGATAAAATGCTCACACAGCCATTAGGATGCAAAATAATAAATAATGCAAAAAAGGTGAATGGAAAAGCATGCATGGTAACACCCTTATGAGGCAAGGGTGTGAGCCCCCACTCACCCACACAGAGGGACTGTCCCAAGCCAACGCTTGTCGTCTGAGCCACAGCCTCGTAGGTCAGGGTACCAGACCTGGAGACAATGCCAATGTTGCCCGGTCGGTGGATGTGGCCCGGCATGATGCCGATTTTACATGCACCGGGCTGCAGGGCAGAGGCGGTGGGAAAACAAAGAGACAATGATGAAATGACGCTGCTTTTAATATGGTGAAAAAGGGCAATAGAGGAGTTCTTAAATACATCGAAATTCTGCTAGGGCACGTTGAAGAGAATAGGCCCCGCTTTCAACCAATATCACAATTTTATTCCCATATACGAATATGTTTCAGCCTGAAAATGTTTTCAAAGGCTTCGGAAATCTCAGCCACATCTGGTACAGTCTCGTTTAAGAGAACCTTTCTTTTAATTATTTACATAAACTGTATCCAAAATTCACACAAGCTTCATAATTTAATGCCTCTTCAACTGTTATGTTGAAAATTAATTTTGAGGAGAAAAAAATTTGTGCACCATGCGTGTGCAGCTTTCACAGGAAGTGATGGCCCTTTTGCTGTTAGGTGTTTGACGGGCAATTCTGTGCAAATGTGGAAATTTGGTCAAGGCGTTACCTTCTTCATCATCACAGATAGTTTCTTATACAATTCTTTTTGAAATTGGAATTAATAATACGCACAATTACCATTAATTTGTCTTTCATCTTTTCTGTACAACTTCCTCTTGTTTGTGAATAACATTAATAACAATGTACAATAACAGTGTAACCAAATGCCCACTGTCACGTGGAACTGCCCGCATGGGCCTGTTTATTTAAACCATTCATGCAAGAGGGTGTGATAACCCACAGGGACTAGTATGTTCTGTGACAGGTTCACAGAAGTATGGGCAATGTACGTGTATGTTCACAGTGGCAAGTAACAGGCTCAACCGTCAAATATTCTGTATTGTTTTTAACATGTACAGACACACAGGTTGCTGAAAGTGACCACATGTCAAAGAGAGAGAAACCAAGCTGACCTTGATGATTCCGGGGCAATTGGGCCCGACCAGCCTGGTCTTGTCCTGCCTGACTAGCCGGTGCTTAATCTTCACCATGTCCTGTTGGGGGATGCCCTCCGTGATGCAGACCACCAGCCCGATCTCCGCCTCCATGGCCTCCAAGATGGCCGCCCCCGCAAAGGCCGGTGGGACATAGATGACGGACGCGTCGCAGTCAGTGGCTGCTTTGGCCTGTCAAGAGTATGAAGGAGCTAGATTTGTACCATTCTCGTGGCGTTATACTTTAGTACTACGTTTACTACCAATTACTTAACAAGTATACTCGTAGTAACAGGTGTACTGGATTCTGCCACTACGAGTTTAAATATAGAGTACCGAAGTGTGACGTCACTGTGAACCAAAAAGTGCAGTGCAAACGAATAGAGTATGCACGCGTGTTGGTTCACGCGCTGGTTCTCACGCTAATGCCTTTTACACGCTAACTGTGCGCGTGACATATTCACTTCGGCACTCTATGAAGGGCTACTGAATGTAACTTGAATACACTGGCATCACCGCAGAACACAACAAATACGCTGCTGGCAGCGTGGAAGACATAACATCTGTAAAATGCTCATGTTCAAACAGAAACGTGAAAGGTATGCCTACAATGCTTGGCAAATGGGAACGCCTCTTTGAAATTATGCAGGGCAGTCAACGTGTTAACTTATTAAATGTAAACAAAGCCGGAGAATATGGAGGCTGGATTCTAAATGCCTTGGAAGGGTAACCTTAAGCAAAAATAAACAAGACGAGGGTGAATCGTCAATTTTAGCTCTACGAGGTGTTCAAGGTTGTCAAACTGGTTCCAGAGGCAAAGTCTCAGTCCAGTAAGTACAAACTAAATGGATGACTTCAGACTACATGTACCACAATTTTTGTAGAAATTCTCGTTTTTAGAGCAGAAATACTCAAAAAGTTCTTGGCGGAGTACTTTCTTTAGTACTTTTCTCCTTCAAATTGCACAGGTTCCATAACCATGAGGGTGTGGAGTCTCAAGTTTCATTGATGTCACTTTTGTGCATTTACCATCCAGTGCCCAGGTTCTTAAGCTTTGTTCCCACTTCACCAGTTCAATTCATGGCAGTAAGCATACAAGCACTGCCTCCGTCCCTTTCAGGAGTGGACGGGAAAAGGGAAATTGAAGGATATGTACATGTATAACTGTCTCTCCGATTACATGTATTTGACGTATCAAGCAGATGGTGAAACTCTTACTAACGAATTACGAGTGGATGTCATGGGAGTCAGATTGGCATAGTGGTTCTTTCCTTCACCTTCCACCTCTGCGGCCCGGGTTCTAATCCCGGCTCGGTCTACAAGTGGATTGGGTTTTCAGTAACCACCTGATTCCGTGGGTTTTACCCAGAATATTCCTCTAGGGTTTTCCTCCCACCTCTATAACTGTAACTTCTTCTCACTGTCCCCACCCTACAGGTTTCTTCAGGCTTACGAGCTACAGTGCCTCTGGTGTTTTTGAGGAATCCTTGGTTTCATTACCAGAAATAATCAATGATAAGTACACCTACATACTGGTGAAGAAAATTTAGTGAGAAGTGAGAATCTGTCTTGTATGTGGGTAAACCACACGTAACGGTCTCTACAGCGTAGGGTACATCAAGCAAACACTTCTTTGGCTTAATACGCCGACCCTCATGAAATACATGTAAGTCTGCATTTATATAAACGTAAACACGGATGGAGGGTAAGTTTCACGGTTTTCTCTGCTCCTGGCCTTTTATGGTAGGGGTGGGAAATGAAAGTCTGGCTGGTTGCATTCAAACAAACTCCATTTTGAAGCCGTGATTCACACGGTGTTATCCTGGCACGTTTCACTGTTTGTACTGTGTTGAACACACAGTGCTTTAACCCCTTCGTGCCGGGAGGCGGCTAGACACGCCGTAAAAATTGAGATCCTCAGCCCGCTTTTCTGCTATTATTCTCAGCCCACCCTCGAGCGAACTCGGTGAAAGAAGGCAGACCCTGGCTCTTGTATATGTGGTAATTGGTCTTTGTGTGTAGACCAGAAATGAAAAGCCCGATTTTGCATCATAATCACCAGCTTCACAATAGTCCCCACTTTGGAAAGAGGCAACGGGAATGTGGAAGGGTGAGTAGAGCCGCATGTCACCGAACAATCAGCCTTTTCACCGTGTAATTCAAAGCGTGCAGAACACACAGGGCCACAAACCGAGAATTTGCGGTTTGGAAGGTGGCCTTCGTGGCCAAGCGAGGCTGGAATTCTTGGAGTCGGCTTTCGGGAAGAAATTCCCGTCGTCAAAGGGTTAAACTGAAACATCACGGTTTTGTAGTGCAGAAGGTTAAAACAGTGGGACTCCCCGAATGGAGAGGGTAACGGCTATTGCATTCGTGTGTTTCTGACCTCTTTACAGTTGTTGAAGACTGGCACCCCACTAGCCGTTTGGCCCGCCTTCCCTGGCGTGACTCCGCCCACCATTTTGGTGCCATATTCCAAGGCTTGGGCAGTGTGAAAGGCCCCCTGGGTGATTGACAGACAATGATATTCATGAAACAGGACACATTGCATAATCAAGGAAATACAATTTCTCAAATGGAAAAAAAATTTCAGAGACAAAACTGAAATTAACAAGTGACATTTTATTCATTAATGACTGTTTTCATCAACCTTTTAAATTCTGAGCCCAGCTTTCTTTGTTCTTTTTATTATGCATGTGGCTATTGTTTGGCATGCACAAGGGTTTATCTACTATGGACACAGGGCAAGGAATTATTATCATTTTCTCAGAATGATGCAATCTACATTCAGAATTCGCATCTTTGGCATGACCAGAAAAAAGCTCTTTTTAACTTTGTTCAATTTGGATGCTTCCATATTTATTTGAACTTATAAATCAGAGAAAACACGTTTTCCTTAAAGGTGCTCTTTAACCCTAACTGCCCAAAACCTGCCATACTCCACAGCAGGTTTTGTGAGGTTTTGGCAGGTTTGGTACAGTACCCGAGGAACTTCTTGTTGAATTTGTGAGACTTGGGATGAAAGGCCCAGGGAGATGGTGTTGGATTCTGTGTGAGTTGGGACACACACAGGTCACTGTGTGCAGTGTCTGACTTGCTGTACCAATTGTTGGACTATGCTTGATTTTGTCATGTTTGGTACTATTCAGTGCAAGTCATCCTATACTGCATAGACCCATCCATACCATATCACTCAAACTCCAACGGGCTCATTCTGTTGGAGTTTATCAGGTTTGGTACAGTGACCTGCATGTACAAGTACATGTACATAAACAAGTACATGCACCTGTTGGATTTTATGAGGTTCAGTATGCTTTCTAGTGCAGGAGCCTAGGGGGTTAGGGTTAAGTGAGCTTTTACATCATTAGAACTGTAGAAAAGAATTTATGGCAACATTATATGAATACTTCCAAATGGACTTAAATTAATTTCGCTAAATAAATAGACTGTGCTTATGAGGTGAGCACTGAATCAATCAGCACATGTTTTCAAATATTTCTGTATGTGTCCCAAAACTTTCAGTGAAAGTTACGTGAGGCAAAAAAGATGCTGGATCATGAAACAATCAGCCTCACACTTGCACTTCTCTGCTCAGTGCTGCAACAATCGAGTCATATAAGCATCTGGTACCTGATCTCTGTTTCTATGTATTCACTCTATCAGACTAATACAAGCTGAAATTTTTTGTAAGAGGGACTTGTCTACCAGGGCTGTTTTCCAATACTCGACTTGGGCTCCGTCGCAGGCTTCAATTGTCTTTTTTACTACTTGACTTTGAGGTTATAAGTGCAAAAGTAAGTCTGACAGTGTCACAAAATATCAAGTAAGATGCAAAAAAGCCAAACATTACAGTATTTCAATTTAAGTTAAACGCTTCGGCCCACAATCGGGGATTGGTTTCCTAAACGAAGCCTGAGACGGAGACGAAGTTGAGTATTAGAAAACGGCCCAGTATTTATCTGAGGCTTCAAATTGAAATCACCTGTGGGGAAAAAACCTTGACCCTAGTTTTGTCTTGTTTTGGTCCTGAAATACTTAGGATGTGCAAAAGTGAAGCTGCTTTGAGGTTATTTTGCATATTTTTCCTGCATCCGGGATACTGGTCTGGTTAAGCCCTCCACAGGCCACTCACCTGCTTGCCAGTGATGCCTTGACATATGACCTTCGTTTCATTGTTAATCTGAAGATTGACTCTAGAGTGGGTGTAACAGCTTCTGGTTCCTAGTTGGTGGCTTCGAGCTGTGAGAAATAAAAAATCATAAGGTTTTATTTAGTGATTCACATAAAATTTGGATACATTTCTTTGGCGTAATCAGTGGATGTGTGTGCTTGCTCGAATGGTGGTGGCCCGACACATAACTATCTAGATAAGGCTAGCATGTTACTGACTATTTCCAGATGTACATGTAGTCAGTCGCATGGTCTGCAAAACCACAGGACAAGATGTTAGAGAGACAATGGATCAGTTTGGAGGGCTTTTTGGTCTGTTCATGCTGTTTGTGTTTATCAGACTGCGCGCGCATGTGTCGAGCCCGACAATGACCGCAGATTTGCTGAAAGGGGAAAATTGGATTTAATAGCTTTCTTACACCTGTGGACCACACACAAAAATTAGATTCCAAAACCCCATGGCGTTACGACACCTAAATCTTGTTGGCTCAAAGTCATATGGAGTATGATGGAGTAGTGACTTTGAGTTCTTGAAGTACTACTGCCCACGGTGCATGATGCGCAGTTGCTATCCCCTGAACTGTGGGGTCCGACTCCGGCCCGCTCCCATTCGTGGGAGCGGGGCGGACAGGAGCGGACGTCGGACCTCATACTATACTTGTGGGGGAACCCCATTGCAGTTTCAGTTACTGCCTAATTTCACCGAAATCTTCAGGGGAAGTGAATGCTTACACGGCACCAATTACATATTGAAATCAACTGCAATGATTCAGTGATACATCCATACAATCTAAAAGAAGTGAACTTAAATTTAACTGAATTTATTTTACCCAAATTTCTGGCTAATATTCTTCCCACCGATGCCATGGCGTTCACTGTGTTGTCTGTACCACCAAAGTCTACACGTACGTACGTACGTGCCTGCCTTTAGCCTACGTTCAGTCGGGTACGTGAGAAAAAGAGCCCAAATTGCAAGGACAGGGAAAGGGGTACCACACATAAAATCCACAAGCCCAGCTCGCGAGCATTAGAGCGCCACCAACAGTTGATCATTGCGCTAAACATGTAAAAAGGACATCGTGCGTTGATATTTCGGGGTAGGCCTAGTCCCAATTTTCTGAAGTTTCCCAGCAATGGCTACGTCAAGTAATGAAAAGAACTTGGTAGACGAATTGGAATCTGCCTTTCAGGTAATTAGATTTCTAATAACTGTGTTTAAATGGACTATTTTCTGCCAGACTGCCCCAGCCGGACAATGCCACTTACCAGATAGATCCAGACCCACACGTACACATGCACAGACAGTGCCATTGCCAGATGTTTCAGAAAAAACATTTTTTCTGGTTGTGAAGTTGTTATGTTGTTGTGTGCATAATAATATGAAAACTGATTAGACGGGCTAGACTAGGGGAAAATCACTGCATGCATGGCATGCCATAGGATAGGTGAAGAAAAAAGATGTTTGGATGATCCTGAATAAGTTGCAGTGTATTTGGGAAAGAGTTCCATCATGTCCATATACGGACAACACAAATTTTCCCTTAACCCTAACTGTCCCAAATCCTCCAATTTCAATACGATTTTACATACACTCTAGGGGGTTAGTGTTAATCATGTTAAAACCAATACCCTGGGGTCAACGGCGCGGTGATGGAAATCAACAGATGTCACCAAATATGGCCGTAACTTTTTTTCTCAATAGGTCAACTTGGCAGAGAGTTTTTGTAATCCTCTCCCCAGGCATACGCCACAAGCCTGTAAACTCCCATTGGCTAGACCCCAACCACTGCCAGGTTAAAATTCTTGAAAGATCAGCCACCCCGAGGAGCCCATATGGTGGCTATCAGGGACTGGATCTCTTTGTTTAAAGACGTGCTGACTGGTCGCTGCTGTTTGGGTTGTGACCTGGTATCACTTGTACTTCCACAGCAGCATAATGGAATGTAGTTAGGGGGGCCTCAGGGATTTACATGTATTACACTCATAGGTAGCTACCATAAAACAGTCCTACAGGTTGTACAGGTTCATGCATGACCGGAAACTGACCGGTGATGAGAATCTCCATGTGGTGACAACACTTTTTTTTAGGGCGTGGCTGCCCCCGAGGGTTAAAATGTTATAAAATAAGTTATAGGCTTCACAGCCATCAAAAAGTGATGACATGTCATGAAAAGTGAAATTTAGCTTAGAAAATTCTGAAGCCTTAGAGTTCTTAGAAAACACTCTTTTTTTTCAGACAAGTCTCATTTGGTCGGGCACCAAACCACAATCTAGCACGTTCGTGTGTGTTCATGTAGTTTCTGCTTTTTCAAGCAGCAATGACGTCTCTCTTATCAGGTCACGTGATAATGATGTAATTTTCCCACAAGAGTTGGGAAAATAACGAGATTTGAAATGCCGGCAGCCAACGTGGCCACTGTTGCTGTTACCGCTGGAGTCTACATCATGTATGGCAGAATTATTTCCAATTGCTATTTTGGAAAATCGCCACCGTAAACATAAACTTTGCCATGATGAATCGATGGAAATCTTTAATGGCAACATTTTCATGCATAAAGTAAACTTTGGCAATGTTTTATTTTTTTACGCGTAAACATTTCCATCAGCAGAATTGGACTCGCCTACCCACTGAATTCAACACCTCCAGTGCAAGATTCGACCGAAAAAGGAAAGTCTCATGTACATCTGGGGATCATGTTTCCTGTAAATTTGATCAATCGATGTCATCTGCGAACCGTGATAAAAAAAGTTAAAAATTTAAGTCATCATCGCACAATCGAGCAGCGTGTGCATAGTTTGGCATCATCGCTAGATTGTGGATTGGTCCCCGACCTGCTCATACATGTTTGTTTTGGCATGGGGCGTCAAGTGTCGTCCGTATAATATGGATCTCTTTCCAGGTACAAGTGCATGCGTATTTGTGAGAAGAGGGAATCCCAGTCCTTTTTATTCTTAAAACCAGATTTTCTCATGACTAAATTACATGTACGTGTGCCACCTCACACAACTGTTCTCCTCCATCATGTCCATGTAATTCAGCACCGTATACCAGTATGTTGGCCTAGTTTCCTTGAACTGTGAACAGCAGTTTGGGAGAACAGTGCGACATTCTTTCCATATTTTCTCTTAGCAACGCAGACTGACGACTGGCACGTGCACCGCTGTCAAGCTGTCAACATAGTTACATGCCAAGCTTACTCCCACAGTAAATGAAACTCTGGATAATTCCAGGATTGGCTCTTGAAATCAAACTTGTCATCAACCAATCAGTGACGGTCTACCAAAGCAGTATCTCACAGCATTTGTGATCCCACTGGGTATTGTGTTCAAGCTGCTGTTATTATTTATCCCAAAGTTCCCTCTTTCTCCGAAGTTAATCTCAGAGAATTTCAGCATACACCTTCAACAGTTTTGCTTGCTACCCCATACATATAATAACATGTACATCACACAGTTTACATGCAAATACAGAATGAAAAGAACATTTTCGGTTTCTTTAATTAATACAGGAACATGAGGAATGGAGCTCAATGCTGATTCAAAATTTTCCATGTATTACATGTACTTGTATTTATTTTGATTACTTCTGAAATAGGGATGCTTCTCGACCTTGATAGCCCAAGACCACCTCAATGTCGTCGATTCCCAAGAAACTAGAACAAGTAAGATGGCATTTTGGCACTTCCATACAAAGTGGAAATTTGGTCACGCTGTCGCCAAGCTCGTTGTAATACATTAACATGTAGGTAGTTCATAAATAAGAGGTTTTGATAAAAAACAAGGGAAATAAGACTTTCCTTGTCAGTCAGCCTTTTCATTAATCCTTTGCCTTTTTGTTGTTTGATTGTCTTTTTTCCTTTGATGTACAGCGCTTTGATCCACATCAAAGGCGCTCTATAAATACCCTTATTGTTATTATTATTATCATTATCAAAAATATTGATGAGTTCTCATATTGTAGTACCATTACCTTGAAGTCTAGTTCTTTGTTTTGTAAAACTTCCTGTCGTTGTTGAATTATGATTAATATTGATTGCAGTAACAGCTTGACCAAGTTTCCACTTTCACGTGGAATTGTCCTGTTATACTCTCAGCGTACAGCTCTTGGGTATGGTCGGTTGATCTGTTGCGTTTCTCGATCTCTACGTAATGGTCCGTCGTGCTGCACAAATCCATGGATAATTCCACCAGCCAGCTTTCCTTTCCAAGTCACAGTTGAAAGTTTCTCAGAAAACAGGGAAGTGGATCGACTGACGTGCAGCGCAAAGAGATCGAGCGATCATGCCCCATATTTAACCACTAAAATGTACACTGCTGACTTTCATTGAAAATGGAGGCCCTGTCTTTACCAATGCTTGTGGGTAGAATGAATCTTATTCTTCAGTCAGCCTTAGTGAAATTGAAGTGAAGTTAACTGTCATTTTTGGTTTTCTTTTTTATAACTTGAGGGTATCATTGAAGGAATAAAATGAATTTCTATTAGAAATGTCTGGAAAAACATACTGGAGTGTTTCATGAAAAAAAATCCACCAAATTCCTAAAATAGACTGATAGCGGCCCATTCAGCAGTTAAAAATGCAGAACACGGATGTGAAGAATATCCAAAATGGCTTACTCAGTAAAATGGTCCACTAGTCTCAGTGATTTCTGTTTTTTCGGAACACGAAGATGAAGTGTTATTCAGAGCGTACTACTGACACCATAAAAGTCACCCTCTTTCAATCTTTTGTTTGTACTTAAAAGGTTGTGTTATCTGTCACATTGCCCTATTAATTACATGTAGATGCTCGTGATTTTGAGCACAAGGCAGGTGTCAGCACTTTCTGTCTAATTTCCTCAACAGCCGTAGAGCATGGAATCCAGCGATTCTTGGACGTAGCCAAGGAGCTGGAGAGCTACTTCCTGCAGAGGCAGCAGATGCTGTCTGTCACCAGGCCTGAACTGCCTGTCGTAGAGGTGTGTGCAAGGATGCCGGTAGAAGAGTAGTGTAGTTTTTAATCGTATGTCTTTATGAACTTGCTCGTGTCAACCAGCACTGGTGTAGGGCCGAGTCAGTTCCAATAATTCACTATTTGAATATTCGACCTTCAATTTGATCGAATACCCGAATATTCGGTCATACCGACCGGCAGATTGTTGAACAAACAAAGACAATCGATCGAATATTCTGATATTCGGCACAGCCCTACACTGGTGCTCAAGGGCCCTTCAAGGCAAATTATTACCCCTGCTCAGGGTGCTTATAAACGTTCCGAAAGCCACCTCAGCACTCAGGGGTTGTACAACTCGATGCTGCCCCTTCAGGCACAAACAGCTCCCATCTCTGCCCTCAGAGGTATCTGTCAGTGCCCCTGGATGGAGAAAGGCAATTTGCCCGAGGTTACCACAGATTGATAATCCTGATCCTGTGACGCACATGTACAAACCCTAACCACTGGGCCACACATCCCACAGGGAGGACAAAGTACCCATTCAGGGAGAGGAATTGGAAAAGGTGGGGGGAAAGGGGCAACGTTTTGTCACAGTAAGGCTTTTCGGTGTTGCAGATTGCTTGCGTAACCACCTTGTGTGTTATTCCCTTCCCCCAGGAGATCGAAGAGCTGAAGCAAGAGCTCCAACGCAAGGAGGCACTCCTCCAACAGCAGCAGGTCAACATCCAGAAGTGGCTGGCCATGCTGCAGCAGTCGGACGGCAGCGTTCCGCCCTCGGCCCAACAGCAGCAACAACAGCAGCAGCAGGCAGTGCAGCAGTCGCCCCGGCAGATGGGGCCCCGGGGCGTGGCATTCCCTCCCCACCAGCCGCCGGTACCGCTCAGCGGACCCCTGGCCCACCTGGAGCAAGCTGCGTCCAGCATCGGAGGGAGCTTCGATCGTAGGTGATATGACGTCCCCATCGCCGGTGATGCCTTCGTCCCCCCTGCGCTGCCAAGTTGAACTTTGAAATGGAGCCAGAACCTGTTTATGCCAGAGTGTTTGTGTTTCTGTGACCATTTCATGTAGAGCATGGTAACACGTTCCAGCAGTGTATGCCCATGGCAGCAGGTGACGGGTTGAGCCATGAAAATTTCCATTCCCTTTGTATATGCGCATGCAAGTGTGGGTACCTTCCGTCATCAGATGTCCAGTTGGCCTCCTATGTCTTGACTTTTTTCAGAGTTCCCATAGGATTTGCACTCGGTTTTTCAATAAGGGACCCCAACCCAATGTGGGATGTTATTGTGCTCTATCATTCAGCGTCACATTGAAGGCAGAACCAAACCCATATTTCACATGTCTGGCGAGGTGACTGTATGCTGAACTTAAACTGAACCGCTTCGCACGGCCCTTCACTGTAGCAACTATTACGCTGTGGTAAGCCTCAGAGCGTTGAAAGCGTTGAAGTTGCACGTGGCATACAGTTCTTGCACCAGTGCAAGGGTTAGCATTCATGCTGTGTATAGTGCATCTTCGCAATAGACAGTTGCCTTGGTAACTTGCTATTGTACAAAGCTTTATGATAGACAGACTCCCAGTTTTAGGAGCCAGCTCGCTGTGGAATAATCCCTATGTCAACCGGAAGTTGCTCCTGGGCACTCCATAGGGAATCGCATCACGATTAGTGGATTTCTACTTTAGTGACGTGCATGTCTGTACATCGACCACTGAGCTTGTCCACGGTTCCAGATGCCCACTGGAACAAGTCCAGTCCTGGTGAGTCAGTCGCTGGTCTAGTGCACTTTCTTTTGGCTGGGTTCAGGTTTGCCACTTTGCACAAAATACATGAGCTAGCCCCCAATTGTAGTGGCCGTTTCATGCCACAGTTTAGTTTTGTTAAATTTTCCATTTGAAGTGACATGTAACTTCATTTTGTGAGCTGATATTTTGTCTGCAATGAGAGTTACAGTTGCCACTTTTCATTGGTATTCATTAAACACTCAATGTAAACTTGTACATCGGTTTGACATTAAACCATTTAAAATCAGGTTTTTCAGTTCAACTTGTAATTAATTATTTTTATTTTAACTAAAGTTGAGTAAAATGTAACTGGTTTTGTGACATATGTCAGCTCTTCAACCCATTGCCTAGTAGAACCAGATTTTTTGCCTGTTGACCATCTTCCATGTATATCAGTTACCAATGTCTTATTTCCAAATGATCCACAGTTAATTGGCTAGAAAATAATGTATATTCATCTCCAGCAAAGTCTCAAATTTATGAAATGGCTTGCATAAGTCTCTTTAACGAGCCAGTGCTGTATTTTCAAAAAGCAACGCCATTCGAGAAAAACGCATGTACCATATTGAAGTTGGCTCATGGCTGTGCTGATAAGGCATTCTCACGCGTGAGCATCTTGCCGTTCCTGAATGACGTTGGATGCCTTTCATTTTAGGCATGTGCTGTTGCAAAATTTGAACAAGCTCATTTTTGTGCGAATAAGCATTTGCAGAACTGGCGTGACGTGTGGTTTGTCCGAGCTGCATTATGGTATCCGCCTCTAGCAAAAGCACCCCCTCGTCGGTTGAAAAGAACCACGCTGGTTGAGGTGTTCAGTTTATTGGTAGTGATGTGATCGTGACGTGCATTTCTTAGTCATTCGTGAGCCAGCGAAGTTCAGTTCCGACCACGGGAGCCTCTGTTGCCAAGAAAATAGCGTCCTCTCCTGCTATGGGCTTATAAAACAACTGAAAACTCGCACACTGGGAAAACTCAGGCATCCAATGTGAAATTGAATTGTAACTGTCATTTCTTTGGACAGGGCAGTAGACAAAATAAGAACTGAAGTGAAATTTAAAGTTCTCTCTCAATATCATGATTAGCGGTACATGTTTATTTCACGTTATCAATTGGTAAAAACAAAATAAGGAATCTATGAAAGTGAACGTAAGATGAGAATCCAAAGAACGCATGGAATGACAAACTAAAATGGGGAACTTACCAAATGCGGTAACCATTTAATCTGACTACATTCGAGATCTATTGTTCTCATTTCTGTGAATATTACATCTTATCACTTTCTCAGATACTTGGCCCTCCTGGTGATTTCTGATTGCTTGATTGCTTTCAGTTTGTTTTTGAACAGAAAAATGAGAGAATTTGATGTGAGATTTAAATATATATATCTAGAAACCATATATTTAGGCATGATATATAATGTTGGCACAACAGACAACATGGATCTTCAAACTTTTAACAGATAAGATGAAAATTAAGTGAATACTGAAAAACTTGATCAGATCTTTGTATCCACTTGGTAAGCACTTTACCTAATCATTGTTACGGCCAACTGTCCCATAAAATGATGGCTAATTTTTGTAAATATGTATCTTTGAAGTACCACTTGCACAAACAGTGATGTTTTTACTATGCATATCTCTCATAGGACAAGGCATTGTATTTTCTGTTTTTAATATAATATTAAACTTTCATATTGTAGGACAGCTTACTATACCAGAGAACAAAGAGCTATTCACTGAGCTCTGTGTGTTAGTTCCTGATGGTTTACACAAAACGTTTGATCACGCAAACTGACCCTAAGTTTCCTATTTTTTTTTAGTTTAGACCACATTACAGCTGCATTGTTCGGGGAATAAAATTGGTGCACCTTGCTACAATCTATGTTCAAGCACACAGTCTAAAAGGAGCAGTTCGTAATGTCTGCCTGTCAATTATGATTGTACTGAAAAAAGAAATTAGAATAAACTAACATTTGCACCACTGGGTGTGGTGATAATTTAAACTAGCTTTATGAAATCAATCGACAAAGTTTCTGACTTCACACTGAGGTTTCGTATATGCCAGTGTTGTAGTCTAGACCACTTAAGACCTTCACAAGACCACCACTGACCACCACAAGCTATCCAAATGAACTGCAACAAAAGCATTCCTTTGTCATTTTCCCCCCATTGACCTGCCACTTGTCTTGTGCATGGTATTGTGGTGGTCATGACTACAACACAGTTATATGCCCACTCAAGTGGCAATGTGATGGGTGGGATGAGTATAGACAAATTTTGACAAATTGTCGGTGCTAAATGTCAGGTCAATGTTACGGTATCTATCAATGCAAATCGACTGAATACTTCATAGAGTTGCTTAATCTGTGCGTGCACAAATGTTTCCTTAAATACCTCATGCATACATGTGGATTTTGTTTTCCTCACTGGCTGAATGTCACATGGAGTTTGCAATTTGCTGCAAGCTGCTTCAAGGTCAAAATAATGTTCTTGACAGTGACCAAAATAATGTTCTTGACAGTGACCACTGGTTCCAACTTATGCATGCATGCAAGCACATTGTGCAACTGTGCAAACTTTGTTCGCCAATGACTTGATGTTCCAGGTTCGGTGCAGACATTTCATCAAGAAGTGTGAATGGATTTTTCAGTGAATTATAAATTAAAAGAGGAAACCGTTTAAATATGATTTAGAATCATGCAACGGATGTCTCTTTAACCATAGGAGTTCTGGATGAGGCTTTCAAAACACAAACACTGACCATGTACATGTACATCGCAAGGGGGTGTGTCCCCCCGAAAACAAAAGGGTGGGGGGAGAGAAAAAAAAAGAAAAAAAATTGAAAGAGGATGAAATCAGCAATTTCCAATCAGAACCCTCAACAATGCCCACCCCACCCCTGCCCACTGTAAATGGTTTGGCAGTTCATAGCTGATTTACTACTGAATTTTCCCCTGGAAAAAATGGGTTCTACTCCTCCCCCCTCTCCAGATAAAATTCTGGTGACGCTCCATGACACTGATTGCTTTTGCTTTCACTTGTGGAACGGAAAACATGGCTGCCTTTGGTGATCCACGTGTATGGAACTTTCTACATTCCTTTAGCTTCTGGCTTTGCCTCAGTGAAAAGAAAAATTTCTGCATGGCATATTTACACAATTCAAAGCAATTATGTTGGTTTTATGCACTATGTGCATTCTGTGATCACACGGATTCAGCATTCTCTTCTTGGACATTCCGTTGGCACGTTTAAGACTGGCCGGCCATCTTCGCCACAAACTCAACCAACGTCCTCATGGGTCGGCCTGCAAGACATAATTGAAGGGGACGGAAAAACAACAATTTAAATAAAACAAAAACAGGTGTTGGAAAGCCACGAGCAAAAGAATGAGCCAGTTCGCTATTCCGACGGCACATGCATAAGATGCAGTGCGTCGTCGATCACTTGAAAACAATATATCTGCATAAGGTCGGATCTGTCAGTATGATGGAAAACAAAAACCAGCTGGTATGACTTCAGTTATTTTGTTTCTGAATGACCTTCATTTTTTTTTAAAAAATACCCAATTGGCTTATTACTTGTACAAGTACACTGAAAATAAGCCAGTTCAGTGCGTTCAAAAAGGCAAGGTCAGTCGAGAATGAAGCACACATGGAAGCCAGCGTATGACCGTAACACAGATGTTGGAATTTATACATCTAGAAGGCATGCCGTGCACATGCGTGTATTGATATTACCAAATGAATGGAATACCGACGCGGCTCACTGTTCACAAAATCAAACATCTGCCAGTTTCACCCTCCAAAATGAACATGCAAAGCCTAAAGTACGAAAGACCCCTTGTAGAGGTATTCTGGAAAAAATTTAGGAGAAACATGGGGTTGAACAAAAAACTTAAATACACAGGGGTTTGAATCTCAGACCTTCAGAGCGTTGCATCGGTGTTCTACCAAGTGAGCTGCCCAGCTCTGCTTTGACAGTTTTTCAATTAGTTAGTGTGTCATTACTGATTGAGTGCTGGTTGGAACCATTTAGAGGATAAAACAAGCAAATGATGTTCAAGTTCAGTCCCCTATTTGAGGCACAGCACGGCCAAACTCTAACCTTTCCATTCTGAGGCAACGGCCAATTTTTCTTTGCTCGTTCTCAACCTGCAACCGCACTGGTCAGGAGTTCCTACCTGTCATGCCTTTGCCGAGGTAAGGAATCTCGTCCTTGTTTTCCATGACTCCAGCAATGTCCAGGTGGGCCCACTCCGGAACCGTAACAAACTCTTTCAGGAATGCGGCTGCGGTACAGGATCCCCCCGACCTGTGGGAGACATGATGCTGTTTCAAACCTTGTAGTAATTGTGGCGTGACTGTGTGGGTCCAATCTGTCTGGAGGCTGCTCTTCGCACTGTACTTAACAACTCCTTACAGCACATTCATGTATGCCCATGCTAGTTTACCCATTCCCTATTGGTGGAGAGTTTGGGTGGTTTTTAACGCCATCGATATCAACCCTCCCTCTTCTACTTCCAGTGATGGAGAATCCAAATCTGCCTCTGTATCGGCAATGTTATATTCAGCACCAACACAGTGAGTCTAAGCCAATTTTCGAGGTCGTTTTGTTTTTAGTTTGCCTTAGAAAGAGGAAATGGATCTCTCTGGATTGATTTTTAATGCTCTATTTGCCAGGCTGAGGAAACAGAAAAAAGTTGAAGATTCCTGCTGATTGTGCAGGAGTCTTTCAAAGGCCTTGAACTCAAAAGTTTTGTTATTCAAATTTGGTATTGAACATGTCGACTGAACTGACCTTGCATGCTTGCCAATGTTGTTGACATCTGCCAGGTGGCTCTCAGTCATCTGACTGGAGTAGTGCTGGAAGAGGGGCATGCGCCAGAGCCTGTCGCCGGTCTCCACACCGGCCTGATGAAGGTCTGACCACAGGGTCTCTGAGGTAGAAAAGGTACCCGTAGCGGCTGAACCCAAGGCTACATCCACCGCTCCTGAGAGGCAAGACAAATGAAGATCTTTTCTCAAGTTGATGATCACAAAAAGCTTGGGAATAAATCAAAGGGCATCCAAGTAACTTACATCTGTCCCTGACTATTCTGGCAATTCCCTGTTTCGAGCATTGGTGGGGGGTTGCAACCTAGTCTGGTAGGACGAAGTAAAAAGAACAGACTTGCTGAGCTTACTAATTGACTTCTCACCTGTGAGTGTTGCTAGGTCAATCACAGCCCTGGGCTCAAACTCCCTGCAGGCGTAGCACAGGGCATCAGCCAGAAGGAGACGCCCCTCAGCATCAGTGTTATCGATCTGTGAAGAAAAAAAAAATCCATCACAGGTGTTTCCTGGGCGTAGCCGGGGGAGGGGGGTGCCTTCATCAAACACTGTTGCCCCCTCAGTCGCCCCCTCGGGAAATGTGGCAAACAGAAGACAAAATAGCAAATGCCCCAATGCAGGCAATGTACATTAATGTACCTGTGTAGCTGGCATATTAACTTGTTAGTTCATCGCTTTATTAAAATTGCTTTGATTTGTTTGTATTAAATCTGACATGGATCAGCATTGACACGAGAAACTAGTAGATTAAGAAGCACATATTAGTAATAGGTACTGGTAATTCCAGAAATTT